GTGGTATATCATGATATAAAACCAGAAAATACCAAGGGGGAGTGGTAGAGGATGAATTGATGATGGGCTACTGCCTTCAGTCACTCAGAGCCTGCAATGCTTAGCTATGGGCTTGATTTCAGTCACTATAATCCATTGCAAAAAGGGGGTTACAATTAGCCAGTAGTACTTTGAAGGCCTGGTCCTAGCATGAGGCAAAGGACAGGACAGTGCATCACAAGCGCTGTTTATTTTGAATGGTTGCTTCAAGTATTATGACGTTTCGGTGATTTGGACTTAGCCCTGGGGTGAAAACTGACTGTAGGCACCAGACCTTCTTGCAAAATACGAACTTCAAAGGTTGTTACTTCAGATTCAGGATCAGAATTGGAAGGGGACAACAGATAGCCAATTCAAAGATATGTGGGGGAGCATTAAATATCGTCAGACCAATTCTATGTTACTGGGTAAAACAAGTAGACAATTGAGAAATGTTAGGTGTTCTTGGTAATTGGTCCATAACCAGGAAGAACCACCCTGATGGCAGAAAAAAAATCCTGGTTTTGGGTGGAGCAGAGGTATTCAGTTTGGAATCAACTTCATATGATTATGTCACATTTCCCTAACAGTATTTGAACTTCACTTGTTTCCAACCATATTGATTTCTGTTCTTTTGTATTACAAAGACAGTCGGGCTGGCCACATTTAACATAATACAGACCTGAGTTAGAAAGCTTTGTTGTCTGGAAGGGTTGGATGGGTGGAGGCTGGGGAGAGACCTGCCAAACAGACAAAATACTAGCCCTGTCCTTAGATTATCATCTCCATGTTTAAGGAAGGTCAAACACCAGATGCCCTTAAATCTAACCAGGGACACACATGAAAACTCAGTATTTGTTCTTCAGTGCATGATCTGTTGGGGACTCCCTTTCACACCCACTGCCCCTCCCTCCCTTCTGAATGGATTCTCTCCTTTGAACATTTGATATAGTTTGCATTACAAATTCAAAGAAGGGCTCCTTCATTGGATCTTCACGCAGAGGAATGTGCAGCTCTCTTAAGAGGAACAAAGCCTCTGTCTAAAAAAGCCTACCCCATGTCCAGATAATATGAAATGCTGCCTATATTTTAGTAGAGATAAACTGGAGATGAAAGATGATGGGAGTTGTAGACCAAATCTTCTGGAGGGCCCTGTTGTCTACTCCAATAACAGGGCTTCAGAAAATGTTCTGATGCAAATAAACCTAATTTATCTTAGAGGTTTTTCCAACTGAGAAATTTCAAGAAAACTTACATCAATACACACCAATTAAAACACACCCTGGAAGTGAGTCTCTCCAACCAGTTGTTTTGCTGCATCAGACATACTGGTGATGTGCAGGTGGAACCAGTCCAAGGAGCTTCATCAGGACCCAGTGGCCTTGCTAAACTCCAGTCAAATGTGATAACCAGTTTTAAAAATCACAGATTTTCACTTGCATTGCAGTGTCATCACACACATCTTCAGGGGGCGCAAGGATACTTACTGCAACGCTGTATGTTCCAAAGCATTGCCCTTATATTATCCAGGCACCTGCCATCTACGTATGTCAGCCTTTCTCACCTTGGTTCCCTCTAGATGTTTTAGACTACAACTTCCAGTATTCCTGACCACTGGCCATGCTAGCTAAGGCTGATGGGAGCTAAAGTCTGAGGGCTCTCAGTTGAAGAAGACTGATGCACTTGAGTCCCCTCTGCTAGGTGCTGCTAGCTTGATCAACACATGACCATGAAGATGGTTCTGGACTCTTGTGCAGAAGCTTGACTGCACCGCCATGCAGAAATTGATACTCGCTGATACGTAATGAAGACAGGCATTTTGGCATCCATTGGTTTTCAGGGTACATCCTTATGCCAGGGTTAAACACAAACATGACATCAGTCCTAGAGGAGATCAACCCTGACTGCTCTTTAGAAGGCCAGATCCTGAAGATGAAACTCAAATACTTTGGCCACCTAATGAGAAGGAAGGACTCCCTGGAGAAGAGTCTAATGCTGGGAACAACTGAGAGCAAAAGAAGGGGATGGCAGAGAATGAGATGGCTAGATGGAGTCACTGAAGCAGTCAGTGTGAGCTTAAGTGGGGATGGTGGGGACAGGAATGCCTGGAGGAGTGTTGTCCATGGGGTAGCGATGAGTCGGACACGACTACAACTTCGCAGCTAACATCAACAATGACATCATTCCAGAAGTCTGGATGTGGTCTCAGATTAATCCAGGGTAGCTCTGCAGTTCTATTCAGGATTCTATAGTTTGGAACACATCTTCTTGCAAATGACTTTTCCAGGACTGGGTTAATTCTCACTGCCTCCACAAGTAAAGCCTTGTCTCCTCGTAAACTGCATCTCCACCCTCCACAGGCCACCCTTCAATTATCTGCCAAAGTACTTTGCAGAACAAATATTTATCCATGATCTGAGACACTACCTCATTCCTGTTTGCCCAGCCTCTTAATTCAGTACTTTGAATATTGTGCTTAGTCCATCAACACCCTGAGGTGCTTAGATGTAAATTTAAGTATTTAGCAACACAAAGCACCATGTGTCTATTTCACCGAACATTTTGCTTGATTCCATTCATTTAGGGCTCAACTAAAACTGCTCCCATCCCCACTTCCCAGTATATTATAGCAAAGCCCAGAATTCCACTGATTATTTGCTGATGCTTTGAACTTTGAGTAGAAATGTCAGACTTTTTGCATTCCATGGCTTTGGTAGTCCATTTATGATTTATAATGTTATATCTGCCAAAGATAGCACTTCATGCTTCAGTGGTGTTTATAGTCAAATAAGGGTTACTACTCTAAATTAATCTTCCCTCTTACTATACCTGAAAAGATAGAAGGAAAATGCTCCCAAGTCTTCATCACTAGATCCTGCAGTCTCTCCTCCTTCTCCTCTCCCCACTCCATTTCAAAAGTAAATCCATCCTTACAAATATATCCACAAAGTTTCTAGCCCTAGTTATGTTAGTGTGTCAGATGACAGGAAAACCTGAGAAGAGAGTGAAGCCAAACAGGAGAGAGACACAGAAACTGTTTACTACAAGGCATCTTCTTTCCTCCAGCATTAACACACAGCACTTGCCAGAAAAGGTATGTGAACAACTTTTTGCTTCCAAGAAGGTTAACTTAAAATTTTATAGCAAAAGCAGATGATCCAAGTTGTCATCCAGACCTAAATTAAATGGGATATTCTTCCAGTTCTTGATAACCTAAGGTTTATTATTTGCAATTTACCTGTTGATTTTATGAGGTATTTTATCTTTGTGCAATTTGCATCCAAGTGGGTGTTCCTAGATCCAGTGACAGGTAATAGCTCTGTGCTAGCTGTGAATACAAGCTGGAGGCCATGAAATGCAGATGTGGAACACCACTGAATACAAATACGCTCAAAGCAACCACAACCCATCAGTTATGTCTAGTGGCCTTGGGCAGGGGCCTAATGAACTTGCCCTAGCCTAAAAGGATACATGATTGGGAATGCATTGACTTAGTGTGTAACAAGTCACATATGCCAGGCAGAGGATAGTATACTTCAGTGTAAGCAGAAATATGAGCCCAGTGATTCATCCTGTATAATATTTAGACTACTACAGTGACCTATGCACAGGGCTGCCCTTGAAGAAAGTGTGAAAATTGTATCTGGTTTGAAATATGACAACCAGACTGGCCGTGGCAAGCACATTATTGAATATATACACTGAAAAAGTGTCACTGGTTACCAGTTTTCCTCCGAGCTTTAAGTGCTAGTTTGCGTTTTAAAACTTTTAAATAGCTTGGAAGAAAGGTATCTGAAGATGAGGGACCACCTCTTCCCACATGAACTTGTCCATCTAATTCAGAGTTATATCTAATGTTAGTCTAATGTAAGTCCCATTCTTTTCAAATACATTATATCCAACCCATTTACTTATTCAGGTGTTCATCAATAGGTTCTTGAGTGGATGAGAGAGTAAGATACAAGCACCTTTGCTTCCTTCCTAAGGCCTGGTCCCTTGAGTAAGCTGTTACACTGAGCAGCTTACTCAAACATTGCCACTGTCTGAATAAATACTAGACTAGCACTAGAGCAATATTATGACTCTCAATATTTCACTATTTAATGATTTACTGGAAATATCTAGCCTTCTGTCTCATCTGGCTTGATGCAACCAATCCAGAGATCAACATTTGGGAACCATTCATATCAAAAAGATGAGTGTACAACTGGATGAATAAGGTCTTCTGTGTTATAGAACTGTTTTAAAATGACTACCTGACTTGGAAAGTTCAAGTTGTCTATCTGACCAGTACTTAAGAACAAAAACAGGAACTAGACAGCATTCTTTTCACTCAGTTTTCTTTTTTGCTTCAGGGGTTGGCAACTTGTAGGGTGAAGCATTGTGGGGTGGGGGGGCACAACTTCTATCAGCCCAGGTTAGAATAGCCAATGGTAAGGGAGCATGGGAGTTGTGAGCCAAAATATCTGGAGGGCAACAAGTTTCCTCCTGGCTTGGAAGCCACGATAGTCCTCTTGCTACTAAAGCAGTTATTCTGTACAAAGCAATATCAAGGATAGGCACCTAGGAATTAAGAAACACACTATTAACTGAGCAGAGAGAATAGTCACGTGATGGAAAGCAGGTGTGGGCCTTGAGGCTGCTTGGCTGGGCGGCGACCTGAGATGGAACTATCTGTGAGCTGCTCTAAGCATCTTCAAAGGCAAAAAGGGCACATGTGTGACACTAAGCCACTTTATGGGTATGTACTCAGCCACCTAAGTACCAAGGCAGAGCTTAGTTTTTTGATTGGGTAATTTATTAGGGAACCCTTTAAAATCAGTTCTAGGAATGGTTGTAGGGTTAGGCATCAAATGGGTAATTATAATGAATGTTGCTGTACTGTATCTGTGCATTTATTCTGGCAACCATTCTCCAAAAAAGAAAGTCTTTGTTTCACTGTTTTCACTTTGGGAATGCAAAATAAGCAACACCAACAAAAATGGTATGAATATAAAGCTGTTTTAATGTTCTGATATTTATATCAAATACTGAGTCAAGTATTTATACATACAGTATCTTATAAACTTATTTTTAACACAACATGTACAAAATTGCACATTGCAGATTACAAAGTCATAAATGTAATCTTTTTATTATGTAAACAACTGCAGCACGAGAATGTTCTACATTCCAGAACGCCCGTATCTCCCACTTAAGAATGTTCATTTCAGCCTCCATTAAAGATCCGAGTCACTAAGTGATAAAACCAGAGAACGGCCATGTTAGCCACTACACACAGGGGCACCCTATCCAATAGACATACAGGGCCTTTTAGTCATAAGTGCTCAACACAAGGCTTTGGAGATCCAATCCTGTTCCCATGAAGTTATTGACAAAAGGCCCACTGTTTGTGGTGGCAGGAGAATCGAAATTGCCATCTCAAGATCTACTGTAATAAAGTCATCCATAACCTTAATTCATAAGAAAACAAAACTGCTGTTTGGCAGTACAAATTGGAAGTATCCTTGTAAACATGGATTTAACTCACTAGTCAATTAAGAGGCATAGCATTTTGCCTCCTCAATCACACACACTCACAAACACAAAATCAAGCTGTACATTTAGTCAAGTGGAAGTATCGAAAACCACTTCATCAGTAATAATTAATAGCTTCTAGTTCTATGCATTACGAACGGTAATGTTAAAAAAACTACATTGGGCCTGCCCCAGATGCATTTTTATTAAGATCTGTGTTTTATATGTCATACTTCATCCCTAGTCAAATCTTCCAAAAATATTGCTTGCCAAAAGTCAGCAAACATTCAATCCAGAAATCATTAATGAAAGCCTTGCCATTAACCTATGTGAGGCTACACTCCTATGAGGTTTCCTAGAAGTCATTTTGAACTCACTGACCTGATTCATAGGCAATGACAACCCATTGGTTTAGAAACCGATGAGGAGCTGTGCGCAAGCAGTTGTGCTTCTGGGATTACACTCGCCACTGTTGTGTTTACCACACAAACCATGACTGGCTTCTTTGTAAGCTTGTTGAGCAGGGCATCCAAACCTGAACTGATGGGTTAACCCTGTGGTTAAACCATGATTTCTTGTTGAGTTATCCCTTAAACAACCCATTGGCCTGGGTCTGGACATCACACACCACAGATACAGAGGAGTTAATTGTGGGTTGTAGAGTAAAAGTAGTGTGTTTTTGTTGAGTGTAAACACACCCTATAGTTACCTTTGTGTAGACATTAAATCATTTTTTCAACTCCTACTTTGTTAGTATAACTAAAGTCAAGATTTCTGGAAACTGCAAGCTGTACGGCAGGCTTCAATATTAGAAAGTAGCTGTACTTCTGCTTAGAGTGGGCGTTTGGTAGTCTTCACTGTGTTGACCTACAATTCCTACCATCATTCACCAATGGCGATGCTTGCTAGGGCTTACAGAAGCTGCAGGCCAAAGAAGCATCCGGAGGGCTGCAAGCTGCCCACAAGCTGCTCTGGTTTAGGAAGACTTTGTTATTAGAGTTAACTAGTTTGTAAAAATAATCCTGCCTGAGCTCCTTCTAGCTTAATTCTGGATACATTCCCGGTGTATCCTCACCCACTCAGAAAAAACACCTCCCCTGCTTTCCCATATACTGTCCTAAGCCTTGCAAATCTGGATGCTAACTAAGACTAAAGCATGGGATAACCATATGCTGGTGTTTTGAAAAAAGGGTTGAAGAAACGTAGCTTATGCAGTACAGGATGCAGTCTTGAATTCATCATCCAGCCTGCTCTATGAGCTAGGAAATGCAGGTACCACCCAAGAATGTAGCATTTCAAATAAAAGCATGATCCCAAATTTACGACCAACTAGATCCAAAATGTAAAGGTAGAAACACTGTTTCAGTCATGGAACATGGCATTCCAAGTCTGTCGATGCTCAAGGAATATGAACATAGAACAGTCTGACTAAATCAGACCCAAGGCCTATCTAGCACAGCCTCTTGGTCCCCGAGTGGCCATCCAGATAACTCTGGAAAGTCCTCAATAGAACCTTCCTGTCTGTCTGCTCCAGCATCAGGTATTCAGAGGCCTACTGCCTCTGATGCTGGAGGGACATGCACAGCCACCATGATGAGCAGCCATGGATTGCCTTATTCATCCCCCTCCATCAATGGGGATGTTCATGCAAACCAGCAGACTTCAGCACATTTGGGGGTGGTAAATTCCATTGCTTGACCATCCACCATTTGACTAGGCCCCATTCCATCTGTCCTGAATCTCCCACCATTCAGCTTTACTGGATGATCCCAGGTTCTAGGATTGTGAGAAATGGAGGGAAAAAACCTCTCTCTATCCATTTTGCCGCACCATACATAATTGTATGCATATTTGCCATGACCCCCTTACTGTACGCTAAAGAGCTACTGATGTTGTCACCTCCCTTAAAAGGGATTTGCTCTAGCCCACTGGTCATTTTAGTTGTCCTTTTCTGCAATTTCTCCCTCTCTACTGCATTTTTCCAAACATGGTGACCAGTACAAAGTACTCACTGGCAGTTTTATTTTCAATTATTTTCCAAATGCTCAACAGGAAATTATCCTTTTTTCACAGCACTCAATAAGGTCAATATGTTAACAGTCTATCTGCTACAACTGCAAGATCCTTTTCCAGTTCAGAACCCATCAGCCTCTGGATAGCCTGAAAAGCCTGAGAGTGCCTAATCTGGAAAGCAAAGCAGGGTCAAGCCTGGTTGAAATCTGGATGGGAGACTTATGAACAGCCCAGAGAGCTTTGGCTATGGGTGGTATAGAAATGTTAATAACAACAACAATAAATGTGAAATAAAGCTCTTTTGCTCGAATATGCATAGCTGCACTTGTTTACACTGAACCACATCCACCATTCTAATGCCCATGCCCCAAGTCTGGAGAGGTCCCTTGGAGCTCCTCGTCATCCTGTTTTGTTTCAACTATTCTACTTAATTTAGCATCATCCACAGCCTCGGTCATCTCATGCCTCAGCATGAAGTCCCAGGTCATTTATGGACTAGTTAGAAAAACTGATCTCAATACAGCTCCCTGTGGGGTGGGGGCCATTGTATGCACCCCATCATTGATAAATTAATTCCTAGTCTTGTTTTCTGTTCTGTAACCAGTTACTGGTCACCAAAAGGCCCACCCTGTTTTGGTATGGCTGTTGGATCTGAGACCATGAATGAAGGAGATGAGAATCTCTATGACACACCTCAGAAAAACCCATTTGTCTACTTTACCATAGGGCTACACTCCCTTAGCACTCACTGGTATCTTGGACCTATCGTGGGGGTGCATAATCATATTGGGAGCTATCCAAAATTCAGCATCAATATTACAAATGCAGTATTTTAAGCCATAAGCTAATAGGCAGAATTATAAACTCATCACATTCTACCCCTCAGTAAAGGTTAGTTCTGCAGTGGAATGGTACAGAAGAAAGACATGAAAAGTCATATTTGCTTAAAGTACAATACCTTTCCCCAGTCTTGCTTTTGTTAGAATAAGAAAAAATTAAACTAATTCATTTGCATCAATACTTCACTTGATTGCATTTGATTGTGGGTGTCACTGTCACTTAGGTAAACATTGCAAAATGGTTCAAAAGGAAGCAAGCCAAAACAGCAGTGACCTGCAGTGAGCTCCACCCCTATCCCCCTCACCCTGATTAGAAAGCTAAAGAAAAGCAGCAGGCACCTCTGTTCTCAAAACTAAATCAAAGCATGACCCAAATTCTGAGCCGCTACAAGAAAGCAAGTGGTGGACTGGGTAATTTATCCATGCACCCAGGTCACTCTGTTTTCATGGATCCAGACTCTGTGCTATGGAAGTACAGACCCACTGAACTCAATTGGACTACTCTAAGTATAACCTCTTCATAACTCAACTAATACACAACTAATACAGCACTCCTCCAAGTTGCCTCTTCTGTTCAAAACACATTTCTCAGGCCAGCTATATCAACCATAGCTCAGCAACAAGAAATCTCTCATCTCAAATCTTCAGACCCATCAACTACAATTTCCTAGATGAACACAATTCCCCCTTCTAACATTTTTTCATCTCTCCCGTGTGCTGCAGCAAGTTACAATTCAGGAGTTATTAAATCAGAAGACAGCTGTGCAGAAAAGTATTCCGGAATCTCAGCAAAAGTTCAAAAGAACATTTCCTTCACTGGATGGCCATATATTCTTTTGATAAAAGGCAGAGGGAACAGAAAACAAGGGTATTTTTGTGCTGAAACACCTTCTAAATAAGAGGACATTCAAAACCTCATAGGCTGCTGCAAATACTGTGTAAGCCTAAGCAAGTAAGCAAATTCTCTCTTGAAAAAGTAATGCCACATGTTTAAGACAAGAGGATAGAAGGGAAGAGCTGCCATTAACCCAGGAACATGAACAAAATTAAGGAAACATTTTGGTGTTTTACACATTCAAGAGTCAATGTTATAGGCTAACTTTGGATTAGGTAGTCCTGGGTTTCCATCTGATCTCACTGGGTGAGCTTAGTCAATCTTTTGGCCTAGATGTTTAGGAGGGAAGGCTTTCCTTCACCAGATGATGATGATGACGACGACGACATGACGCCCCCAAGCTGCAGTGGGAAGTGGCACAGTCCTTATAAAGCTTTACCACTTCATTCTGCTGAATTTTATAAAACTGGTAATTACTATGGGCCTGATCCTAAAATTTGCTTTAAACCTCTGAGTTCTTAGGATGACTCTTACCAGTCACTGTGCCAGCACATGAGCTGTGATATGGCAACATTTCAGGCAAATAAGATTATGTTACCAGCATGCAAAGTCTTAAGTGGTTTTAGGAATACTTCAGTTGTACAGTATCTATAGCAACTTACATGGATTTCTTTACATAAATTAAAATTAAGCCTATGAATCCCACTTTCACAATGAATAACACATACTTCTCAACTGCTATGAATAACTCAAAATATTTTTGCAATAACTACAGTTCAAAGAATCTATTTGAAATTATCTACTGCTTGATTAACAATGAACAGACACAAACTGCTGTGCTCAAGGCATCAGCACCAAAAATGGAATTTCCTAAGGCTATCCAGACTTTCTGCATCAGTGGAAACAAAGCAGCTCGGTCAACAGCCTTTTTTGCAGGAAAGGCCATTTGGCATAACTCTCCAAGTGACTTTGCCATCTCAGTGAGATTTCACATCTGAAGAACAGACTGCCTTGATCTGTTAGTTTTGCCAGCAGTGCTGAGTTCCACAGGTCTTGCTCACATGTGTAGCTTAAGTTCTTTGCAAAACACTAAGTGACTCCCCTAAGGATTCATTATAACTGAACTGAGATGTGGACCCAGGTATCTGAGCCCAAGCAATTTCTCCCCTGGTACAGGGCTGGGGAAACTACCCCACCAGAAATTGTTGGATCCATCCCAGCAAGTATGACATACAGTCAGGGCTGATGGGAGATGGTCCAACTCCTGGACAGCCACAGACCCCTGCTTCTGCTCTACTATATACTAATATATCTTTCCTGTATATTAATATTGTAATGATGGGTGGGTGTTAAGTATGTTTGAAGATGAATTTGCTTATTATAAAGAACCTATACAATGGTTATGACAATTTGTCCCAATAATTAAGTCTTGACTATTTCCATCATGACTAGTCATAAAACATCATAAAAGGTCAATTTGTGCACATACCCCTGGGATTAAACCCCCCCCCCATATAAACCCAAAAAGTCTTACTTCTGAGTAAATGTGCTTATCGTTGGAATATAAGCAGCTTGGTAGGACTTCAGGGCAAGTCTTTTCTCACAGAGGCACAGACATTTGCATTCCCTTTCCACCCATTAATCTTGACTTGCATCAAAGCACTTTAGTAGCACTACTGCACAAACATTCAGAACTTCATTATTAAGGCTCATCAAGAATATCATAATTGAGGAGCTGCTAGTAGCTTACACAGACCTTCGCAACACACAAGCAAGTTCACATTTTATCACTGTATTACCAAGTCTCAGCATGTCTGCTTTTGAGGAAGGAAAACGCACAAGCGATGTCAGAAATACAAGCTAAATATAATTCAAACTAAATTTATTGGTTGCTTGAAAAATAAAATTAGGTTTTCATGCTTAATCAAGGAAAGTACAAACTTTCCTCAGTATCAAATCTGCTAGCTCCACAAGGCTAGCGGGATAAGCAACAGAACAAAGAGGGCAGCCTCTGAGCCTCCTGCTTCCGGATCCCAAGTTGCCAAGCAAGTCAGCATTTCTAGGATTAAGTATGCATAGAAACATGCAATCTTACACCTAAAATAATATCACCTCCTTACCATTTAAGATGCAGGCTTGCTGCAATATTTACTTCTGCCAGAATGTCCAGTTGGAAACATTTGTGTTAATAAGCTGAAAACCAGTGAGAGGTACTGGTTAGAATGCTTGACTGGAGGGTAGGAGGTCCAGATGCTAGTCCCCAGTGGATGGCTTTGGATCAGCTGCTGACTTCCAGCCTAACCCACCTCACGGGGATATTGGTAGGATAAAAATGGAGAAAAGGTTGATTATGTAGAGCAACCTGGATTCCTTGTGAAAATAAAAAAGCTGGGATAGAAAAAATTATATTCAACCAAATTGAGGGTAGTGATCAAATTTAATGTCTCCATGTTGAAGAAGTCTGTTTAGGATACAGTTGCTGAACAGTGAATAAAACCAACAGCAATTCATATCAGCCAGCTAAGAAATTAGAAGCAGTGGGTACTGAGCCACTGAGCTTTGCTATCTCTAACAGGTTAGCCTCACTTTGCAGTTGAAAGCTATAATTTTTAAAATGCTTCCTTTATGTTTTGTATAGAATTTTGATAGAGAAATGCTTTTAAAATATATTCTGGCTTCAAAATAAAAAATAAAAAGCCAGGGGATGCTTTGGAAAAAAAAGCATTTTATATCTTGCTGATTTTAATGGCAGGGTTAAGTCCATGCTTAGTTCCCTCTGACTGAAATCCATAGGACTTAAAAAGTATTTGGATGAAGATGGCTCCTGTCCAAAAGTCTTGAAAAGTCATTTAGCACAGATGTGCTTCCAGGTGCTTCCAAACAAAAAACACTGCACTCTTACCTTTCATGGCAATGGTTTAAAAAAGGGAAAGCACCAGTTAGCTAACAGTTCATTTCTTGTCACTGAAGAAAAAGCTTGCTCTGAAGGCATGCATAATCCTCTGCAGCCAACCCTACAAAAAACTTAAGACGAGTGTTGGAATGCTGTCCGCACCTGAACTTAAGCTTCCACCCAAAGATTGAAATGCCAACAGCCACAGCTATCCCACAGCTATCCCATCCGTGTGTTTAAAAGAGGCTTTGGGTAGGAGTTGTGACACATCATCACTTGCTAAGTTAGTAACAAATTAGTCAGCCTTTCAGGCCACACAAAGACGAGAACTACTACCTGAATGTTCCTGAGCTGCACAGAAACAGCAGCTGCCCATGGACCCCTCTCACTACTTACAGCAAAGATTTAAATTCCCCCAAAGACATCCTTTTTCCCTGGCAACAGCAAGTCAGTTCAACAATGGACATCACCTGAACAGTCAACATCACTAGAAACTGGAATATCTGCCTCCTGAAGTGGTCATGCAGGTGAGTACCCTTCAGGTTAAATATTTTTTTCCTGGATATGTGTGTATATGTGTTCGTAAAATTACATAATGGGCAAAAGCCAAAGTTTAAGAAAAGAAACCAAACAACTCTGGTTTGTTACAGCTGTTCAAATATACACAAACAAGTGATCAGAATGGACTGAAAGGGGAATACTGATGAGAAAAAACACCTCTTAAAGGAATGATTACTCAGACACTGAACAAGATATACCCAGAATTTGCTGGGTAAAGGAATGGTTTTAACAACACTAAATGATTTTCTAATACTCCTTAGCCTGCAAAATAAGAACATTTGTTACTGGCTGAACAGAAATCAAATTGTTCAGCCACAGATGATGCAGCATTTCAACAGTACTGGCATGATGCCACTTATAGAAAAGTGGTAGGGTAGATAGTACTTTGAGAAAACTATAGAAAGAATCATATTTAAAATGCTCAACAAAGGAGCCACTCTGCCCCAAATGAGTTATATTTAGAAAAAATGTCCAACGAATAGAACTTTGAAGAAAAAAAGGAGAAAATACAAAGTTACTGGTAGCAATGAATTGTATCCGTTAGTTTAACTTAAGTCCAGCTAGTTTAAATAGGTCTCCTCTAAGTAGGGAATAATATGGGATACAACCCATATAACATAAGAGTAGGAAAAAGGCGAAGAACCCAGAACACTACAAATATGTCAAGTAGCACAATTTGCTTTTGGCAAAACTGATGTAACATGCAGCCCTGCCGATCACAATATAATTGTCAAGAAAAGGAATTGTCTGAACTTCAGCCTCTGACACAACCATTTTTATACTGTGTTCTTATTACAGAAGTTAGGAAATAGGCTATGGGTTTGAATCGCCTCCCAGGTGCATTTAAAAAGGGAGAACAATAGTGATTTCACTAAACCAGAACTTTTTTCTGAGATGTAGTACTCTAGAACAGCATCTATTCAAGAAATGTTGACCCATCAAGCATTTTCAGCTATATAAAGATGTGGGTGCTGTGTTGGATTCAGCCTAAGGGATACACTTTGTAGAGCTCATTTATTATCTACTTTGCACTGCTCAGGTATCACATTTAAGCATTGCTATAAAAGGTGTCCATTACTACTATAGTTTCCTCTGGGATTAGACTAATATGCATCTCAATAATATGTTTTTTGCATCTCAAAAATATTACAAACTGGAAATTTATCAGAGGGGCAGCAAAAAGGGATAGGAAAATGGGCTAAATGTATAAAAATATGCATTTACAGCATTTCCTCTAGAAAAAATGGCAACTTTTAATTCATTAAAGAGAAATACTTTTTCTGACATAAACTAAAGGAAGCTTACTTTCAGAACTAAAGAAAACTGAAAAGACAAGGAAGGAACTCATATGTCACAAGAAAAAGAACATGATGTATGAAAAGGCAACAAATACAAATGAAAGGAAATATTATTCATGAAGTACTGGAAATTAAATCAAGGTGATCTGGCCAAAGGAATTATATTTTCTTCCCCAAGTTTACTTTTCTTTTCTAAAAAGGTAATGCAAAATTCTTTCACGGGTTTGCAGTGATATGATTCCAAATAGCAAAGTTCCTAATGAACAATTCTATTGGAAAATAATTGTTCACAAACACTGCAACAGGAAAATAACCACTTATCTGTTTCAAGTGATCAAACTAGATTGCCACAGTACTTCCTGAGAAATTAATCTGCAGATTATATCCAATGTTAGTCTAATTTAAGTCCTAATACTTTCAATGAATCTACTTTAAGTAGGACTAACAGTGAACTCAATTCATTAACTCTACCATCGGCTCTTTCTGTATACAGAATTTGCAGCTTAGGATCGTTGTTGCACAGATCTCTAGAACTTACACTGAAAAAATATCACTGGACAGAATAAAACTGCATCTGGAGTAGCATCAATTCCATGCTCTAAGTCTATACAATGAAGTGAGGATGGTGGTGGGGGAATCATCCAATACACACTGACAAAATTTATCCAGAAAACTCCCAAAAATCTCAGCTAAAACAAACCGGAAGCAACATGTTCATTTCTGATCCCATTTGAAAATAAAACTCAACAGGTTTTCCAACCAAGTAATTCCTTAAAAGAATGCTGAATGCTTCCCTTTTTCCCCTCCCACCCTGAGAACTAGAGAATACTTTACAATGAAAACAACAGCAAAAATAGCTTATACATAGTTCTTCTGAAAATATATATATATATGCTTATCCATATTTCTAAGTTATTCAAAACACAGTACAACTGAATTTTATCTTTAAAGAAAATCCAATCTAAGTTTGTATGGTTTTTTTTTTTTGCTGTATAGCACTTAAACTCACTATAACATCATACAAAGAGAGCAAACACAGCTGGAATGTACACAGTGAAGGATATGATATTTATTCTTCGAAAACCATTTATCATCTTGCATGTTATAAAAATAAAAGGTGACATTGGAAAGAGTTTCAATAAATAAGTCTACCAATGCACCAAATTTGTGCTGGCACAAGAAATAACATGGAGCTCATAAATTTAGGGGCAAAAGCATTGCTTAAAACATTAAATTTTAAATAAATATTATGTGGCACACCTTCTTCTTTTGCCGTACGTTAGCACTGCACATTCATAGCAGGCAGAATCTCTAACATCAGAAATCCAAAATTCAGCTGCAACTGAAACGTGTGTACAGTAATTGTTCTTTTTTAGGCTTTCACTGTACCACCAAGAAAAACTACACTGCCACTTCTACAGTATACATAGTTGCCTAAATGTTTAAACTGTGTCACTCTCAAACTTGGAGTAATTCTAGAAAATGTCAACAGCCATAGCTAGAAAATAATGACTTGTCTCTCTGTACGCAAGACTGATTTAGCCCTCTATTAGCTAAAGCTCTGTAAAATTCTTGAGAAACATTTCATAAAACTACCCATAAGCAAACTGAAGAGACTGTTATTTCTAAAAATATTTCTGATCTATTCAAATGCCTGGCCATTTGCATGACATACTTTGCCCCAACCAGACATGACATCCTACCATAGAAAATCTACAAGAAAGCAATAAATAAGCCTTTAGCTAAATATAGTTGAGTTTTTAACAATCCCTGGCAGCCTTTGCAGAAAAGCATACAAGTTGAGTCTAATTACCTTCCACCACAAAAAGAAAAAAGAGCAAAAATAAAATTCAAGGATTTCTAAACTGCAAAAAGTCTTCAACAAATATAACTTCTGTCCAAACCATGAGCTCAGGTGTTATCTGTGAAGAGCTCTGTGACTTCCACCAACAAGATGCAAATATTTGTGTGTCTGATCTGCAAAGCTCTTCTTCGTATGTGGGGTAAGAGAAGCTAAGAAAGTGAGCACATGTTCAAGCTGGAGCGTTTTGAAGATTACAAGCTGCAGAATCCAGCCTCAAGCTTCCTCATGTAGCTTGAGACTCTCAGAATGACATCAACTGGTACAGCACTTTCCTCTGAAAGTTTCTGCATGTGCTTGGTGCTCCTGGAAAAACCACCACCACCACCACCTTCCTCTGGTTGTTAATCACTTCAGTGTCACTTTCATTACTTGGGTCCTTGGCAGGAAACAGACAGATTTCTGGAGATGCTCGAAACTATCAAGATACTGGGTTGACTAATGCAAGTTATTTTATCAATGTTGCTTTCTGGAATAGACAATTCTGCCACACCGTTGTCCCATTCTGTCCTGCAAGGAGCACAGATCGTTGCTTCCCAGCTCTTCTCTCTCTTCCCCCCACTACACCAAGTTTCTCTCCGGCTGTTGGATCTCTCTTGTAGCTTCCCATTAGGAGCTGGTGTGTGCACAGGGGCGCAGAAGAGGAACCTCTTCTCCCATGCCTTCCCCCAGCTGTCAGATGACTGAGTAGCACGATTAGAAGCCAAAGAGTATGGAACGGAAGGTGGCTCTGCCATGGTCCTCCTCCAGACCGTGATCAAGGGGTCACCCTCTCCTTGCCATGCAGGGCAAGGCTGCGATGAGCTGTCTCTCCGCGTCTGGGCACGAGCGGCTTCAGCAGGCACTGGTCTCCGGTTCCGTCGGCCCCTCCCTGCCCGGGGGCTGGCTGGCCACCGCCGAAGTTTGCGCGGGGACCGTGGCGGCGGTGTTGATATGGCAGCCACTGGAGAGGTGGCTGCGGACGCGGCCTTGCAGCTGGGTGACCTGGGCGCGTAAGAGGCTGGCGGTGGCGGCCAGCTCGGCGTTCTGGCCCTTGAGCGCCTTGACTTTCTCCTCCAGGCGGGCGATGCGCTCGAGCTTGCGCCGGCGGCACTTGGAGGCCGCGATGCGGTTACGCAGCCGCTTGCGCTCTGCTTTCAGGCGCTCCTGACTTTCGGCGTCCAGTGGGGACAAGGAGGAGGGCGGCGGAGGAGACTCACCGGACGACAGCGCGGGAGGAGGGGGAGGAACCGACACTACTGGAGCCTCCGGCACCGTCTGCGGCTCCTCCAAAACCCTGCCCGTCGAGCCAGGCGCTGGAAGGCGGGCCACGGTCTGCGGGGAGAAGAAGGTGCCGCCGCCAGACGGGCTGGCCGGGTTGAAGCCGCCCAAGGTGGTGTAGACGGCGGGGGGGTCCTGTCGGGGTGGCGGGCAGCACGGGCCCCCCGGGTGCTGGGTGGGCGACAGCGGCGCCGGCGGCACGCCCAGCAGCTGGTTCTGCTTGTGCAAGTCGGCCAGAGCTTTCACGAAGCCGTCGGCGAAGCCCTCCTGCTCCTGGGTCACCGCCTGCTGCTGAGCCGACGGCTGCGGGGACCGATACAAGAACGGCCCGGCGGCCCCTGCCGTCACCGAGGGCCCTCCGGCGGTGGGGCTGGCTGGACCGGCGAGACCCGGGCTGCCCGCCTGGATAAGTAGCTGTTCGAGATCGGCGGCCGCCGGCAGCTTCAGCAGAGGCTGCAGCACGCCCGGGCCCACCTCTGGGCCACCGCCGACGGACGCATCTGGAATAAGGCGGTGCACGGCGCCGCTGGAGCCGCCGCGGGGGCGCAGCGACGAGAAGGGGCCCGCGGAGACGCTGGGGGAGGCCGCCCCGACCAGGTCTCGCTGCTGCTGCTTCTTTCCGGCGAGGAGCAGTTTGTGCTGTGGATCCGCCCCGCTTTCCTCGGCAGGCTCCAGCACCGCGGGTCCGCCCGCGCCGGGCCCACCGCCGAATCCTGGCAGCTGCACAAAGTCGGGCAGGAGCTCCAGTCCCTCCTCGCCGTAGAAAGGGGCCACTTCCATCTTCACAGCCACGCGGGCGCTTGTGCGCCCGCCGCTGCTGCTCATGCTGGGCTGGGCAGGGCAGCAGCGAGTCTAGTCGGCGGCGTCGCTGCTGCTGCTCCTGCCGCCGCCACTAACTGGAACTGCCTCGCTTCCAGACAGGGGAAAATGCCGCAGCCGCCGCTGCTTGTGCTCAGGCAAGCCTTCACGTGCGGCGCCGGCCCACCATCTCCCGCCTCGGGGCAGCCGCCCGGGGCTCGGCGCTTTCGACTTGTGGCATTTAGGGAAAGAAAACTCTTTTCCCTTCCAGCCGGAGAGGAACTGATGTCAAAACGCCTCGCCTTAGCAGTTCCTGCCGCTCCGCCTTTCCTGGCTGTGACCGCGGTGGCGGCCACACTGCCCTCTAGGCAGCGTCGCAGGCGGATTCTTCTGCCTTGCGTTCCCTCCTCTTCGTTTGCAGAAGGCGGCAAACGACAGCAAAGGAAAGTGGGCGCGATTCTTTCCCACAAATCAGCCTTCTCCAAATTGGTGCCTTCCATGTGCCTTGGACCACTGTGCTCATCGTCCCTGAGAGAGGCCAATGAAAGGTGTGGTCCAAGCGCCTGGTGGGCACGAAGTTGGGGAATGCTGACACAGAGGAAGAAATGGTAAAACAGAAACATCTGTAATAGGGCAGCATCCTATTCTCACAAGTCTTTGGGTGGCAATCTCCCTCACACACTTGAGAGTTAATCCATTTAGAATGCAGGCCTGTACTTACTTACCCAGAACTAGAGCCCATGGTGTGCAGTGGGGCTTGCTCCCACCAAATTGTGCATAAGATCACAGCCTGATAAACTTTACAAACAGCTGAAGCCAAGTGGGAGAACAAGTAGTAATGGCAAAGCTGAGGGCATTCAACAGAAGCTCATGTTAAGATCCCAGCTGGATTTTTTCTTGGGCTGCTGTTGAAGAGTTTGTTGAAGCATCAACTAATGCAGATCAGAGCTGGTTAATTCCTAAGTGGCAAGTTGAGTCATATTATTTCCATTTGGAAAGAACTGCATGGACAACCTGTTTGTTTCTGAACCCAAATCAAGATGCTGATGCTTACCTTTAAAGTTCTAAATGGCTTGGGACTCATATGACTAAAGGAACCTCTCCTCACCTATCAGCCTATCTATACTTTAAGATCTTTAGCCAAGCCTGTTCTCTGAGTACCTTAGTGATGATATGTTATGTGAAGAGATAGCACCTCCATTTTTAAACTTGTTGCTGTCTCACTATCTTGCAATTTCTACGAAGGATAACATTTCATTGTATCTGCACTTTATTTCCATTTTTATGAGTTAGATTCAGACTTAGTAATAAATAGTATAGACTCACTGCAATCAATGGGATTTCATTTAATCACAACTACTGATGTCCTATTAATTTCAAAGTGCCTATACTTTAACAGTCTGGATCCAGCCTACAGTCTACCTTGTACCATCCTGGAATCCATTGGATGAAAGACTGTTTAGACATATTTTAAATAAGAAATACTCAGTATGTGTAACTGTGGCCAGATCAGCTTTCTGTAGGAAACTCACACACCCAGCAAAGGTACTTCTGGATGCAGCAGCAACTGGGCTTCCAGCAATACCCCGTACTGCAAACCTGGCACTTCTTTCAGAGGAAATACAACACCATTCAGCATAGATAGACCATCCAACCCCAGATCATCATTCCAACTGTGCAACCGTACTTTTGTCTTGTTTGTATTGAGTAACGTGTATCTGATGTGTTTATGCTGCTGAAAACTACAAAATTTGTCAGGAACTCCACACCACTCAGAAATTTACAGTGGTTACTTCATCATTTAATTTTTATGATATGGCATGTTTTCATGCCAGCTTGTGTAGCCCTCTGGGAAAAGTGAACTCAGTATAGAAACATTCCATGCAATTGGTGGTAAATTGGTAATATTTATTTATTAGGGCTTTTATATACCGTTTGCAATAGCTGAATGGCACTCTGAATTAAACCATTAAACCAATAAAAATTAAACCAATAAAAAAACCCTGAATACCAAAAATACCCCAACATAATATACATAATATAAACCATATTTCATCAGTCCTAAGCCAGAATAAGACATGTAATAAACACTAAACAAAAATCCATGGTGATCCAATGACAATATAAAATGCAGTAAAAAATTGCAGAATTTTCTTGTTTAACAATTAAATACGGTGCAAATAAAACTATTTTAGCCCGATGCTGAAAAGCATAAAGATTTGGCACCAGGCATACCTCTCTGGCAAGCTGATTCCATAATCATATGTCAACTTTGTATTTTTCAGTAGCTGATTTTATGTCTTCGCATGAACAGCATCCTCTAAATTAGATCACATTGATAGCTAACATTTTCTTGGAAAAATTATATGGCTTTTTCTCTAACTTAAAGTGACAGTAGCTCTATGGCAGGGGTTGGCAACCTTTAACACTCAAAGAGCCATTTGGATCGGTTTCCCACACAAAACACCGGGAGCCACAAAACCCTTTTGACATCTAAAATGAAGATAACGCTGCATATATTTTTACCTTAATGCTATGTATATCTTCATTATGATTTAGCTGCAGCTCTTGTTCAGTCACTAAAAACTGTTATTTTTAATCTTACATTATAAACTAGTAGAACTCCTTTCATAGATTTTGAATAGGAGAACAGCCTCCTGCAGAGTCAAAGTCAGTGCTAAGGGGCTGCATGCATTAAACAGCAAACCCCATAAGTTCGTCAGCAGTAAAAGCAAATGAATCTACCCACATACCATTAAACGTTTGGTTTTCTTGAGAAATTTTTCTTTTCTTTGATTTATCCATGGTTGGCCTGGGTGAGGAGCGGGGGGGAGCGGGGCTCAGTAAATCAGTGCAGGTCCGCAGATCGGCCTCGGCGCTGTGCTGTGCGGAGATATAGGTGTGTTTATTAGTGATTTAGTGACTGATTAGCAGATAAACAGTCAAGTGCTGTGAATTGTGACAGGTCCCAAGCACAGCAGCTTTTAACATTTAGATGGAGATTACATTGGGACAAAGAGAATCCTTTCTCATGTAACATGGGAGCCTGCAGGAAGCTTGTTTAGCAGAGGAATGTAGCGATTTACTTTAACTAGCTGATTTACTTACAACCCTGCATTCCTGAGTGGAGCTTCGGCAGCTGTGCAGTGTTTTGAGCGATGGAGCCACAGCAGAGGGGCTCAGGAGCCACGGGTTGCCGACCGCTGCTCTAGGGCAAGGAGAGTGGGTGTGCGAGAGCCTCAAAAATAACTTGCTCTACCATTGCACCATAATTTTGGACTGGACATTGCCACATAGGTTTCTATTGGCTATGCATGTGCAACTCCTTTTTATTCATGCCTTTGATCAGCCTTGCGCAAAATGATGCCTCCCAGGTAAGACTACAACTCCAAGCATCCCTCAGTCAACATTCACACGCAAATGCACCCTTTTGTTGTATTCTGGCAACAGGTGCAAGGCAGCATCAGGCAAGCTCTTGGGTGGCTGCTGGGTAGTGAAGGAACAGAGCAGGTGCTGTTAGGGTGTGTTACTGATTTACATGACTGGTTAAGTCCCTCTCTTCATTTCTACTACTCTTGCTGTGTCATATGCTAGGTCTAGCTTTAATATTAATCATACCAGGCCTTTAAAAATTCACAAGGTGTTATTTTTCTGTAAAAAAGAGGAAAAAACCCTACAACAGCAAGATACTTCACTAATTTTAAAACCCCATCCTGTTTTATGGCTTGTTTTGTTGTATTTGTAAGCTGCTTCTGTGATTTTTTAAAGTCAGCATATAAATGCTTAACTATGTGTATTTACTTGATAGTAAGCCTCCCTGGAAATCATGCTAGTTATTCACATAATGCTTAGGATTGCAGCTCTATTGTATTTAGCTGCTCCCCCCTTAACTCTCACCACCAGCTGCCATTCCAGCAGGCTGAGGAAGTACAAAGGTCTTCAAATCCTGAAAGGCCTCCCTGATGAAGGTCCTCCTTCCTCAACTGTTACCACAGAAGTCATTCTAGCTGGCTGAGGAAGATGAGAGGGAAACCTGATTCATTCTAGCAGCCCTTCTGAAATAATTTTTTTCCCCTTGCCATTCCTTTTTCTCCTGTGCATGGTGTCTCCTCATATTATAAATCTGGAGGCAGTGTCTATCCTGTTATATGTAAGCTGGCCTGGAAGCCTCTTTGGCTGGGGAGCAGTATAAACTCACTTCCAATGTATAAAATAAATTATCAGCACCGGAGACCTATGAAAAGGAAGCAAGACATCAAAGAGCTTTCTAATGGAGACAGGTAGTAGATAATTGCAGCACGAGACACTCAGTCTGTGCTGGTTACTCAAGAAAAAGTACCGTCCAGAGCAGTGAAACTTGTTTCCAGGTAGGACTCAGACTGCAGCCCTAAGAGGAAGAATTCACTAGATGGAAATCGTGCAATTCTTCAGTTTCTCGCTTCACTTCTAGGACGGGTTAAAACGGAAACCTACGAGAGCTCCCGACTGAAAATTCAGCCCTGCACCAACACCTATAAAGAGGGCAACTAACCTCGGCGAGGGCGCACGTATGTTTACAGGCGCAGGAGCGGCGGTACGTGCGTCAAAAGCCGAACCGCTGTTCTCTCATTGGCTACTCTAAACGGAGACGCGTCGCTCCCAAACATTACGGGGCGTGACTAATAGCAAAGTCCGATGCGGAGTTCTCGAGAGAGTTCGCCTGAAGCTGGCACCGCCATTTTGAAGTAGGGAGAGGCCACATCCAGCTTATGTCGTTCTTCAGGTTTTTTTAAAAAAAATTAAAAAGGGGACGTGAAGCCCTCAGTCAGGTAGTCAAACCTACGTGGCCTTTCAAGTGCGTTTTCTGGCTTCCGAGAAAAACTACGGCGGCGGCAGAGAGGCGGCGGGGACGGCCACGAGAGGATGGTGCAGTCCTGCTCTGCCTACCGTTGCCGGAATCGGTACGACAAAGAGAAGCCCATCTCTTTCCACAAGTGAGTAGGGGCGGGGGCAAGAAACGCCAAAGGGAGGGCGAGAGAGAAGCGCCCGCCGGAGCAGGCGGGAAAGAGATGCCGTTCGCTTCGCGAGGAGGGAGACGGAAGGCGGAGCCAGGGCGCGTGCGCGCACGGGGGCGAGGGGCGTTAGGAAGGACGCCGCGCGGCCCTGAGCGAAGTGGTGGGGGGGGGGGGGGGGGGGGGGGGCAGCAGCGGCGCGAGCGCGGGTTGAGAGAAGTGGAGGGGTGCCTTACTGGCGGGGCGGAACGCGCGTGCGCATGCGCCACCGGCCCTGGCCGCGTCGCTTAAGTCCCGCCAGTGTCAGGGCGTGGGGGGGGGGGGGGGGGGGGTTCCTTTTTTTTTTTTTTAATACCATTAATGGTCGCGCCGCACTGTGTATCAAGCGGAGAAAAGTATTGCTTCTGCTAAAGCACATCCCTCGTTTGGTTAATCCCGTCTGCAACCAAAACAAGCCTTCACGAGCTGACCAATGCATCGTTTAAGCGCTTGTGGAACTTCCTCGAGCTCCAGGGTGCCGCTTGAGGAAGTTTTTATGGCGGGGTCGACCTGCCTCAGCTACAGCATGCTGTGTAGGGGGGCGGAGGGTGCTTTTCGTGTGCTAATCCTCTCGTGTTTGCTTGCTTTTCTTCTTACCACGTCAAATCCATGAGGGAAGAAAAGACAGAATAGCTGCACGCTGCCTTTTACTTGGTGGCGCCAGGAAGTGTCCATTTGGATGCTTCCCTAGTCCACAAAAATGTATGTTGCCCTCTTAATTCCATTAACATCTCAGTGCTGTCAGCATTGTCATATAAAGTCTTTGGTTTGCATCTTAGCTTGTTAAAAAATTTGTATGGCAATCCTCTTTATTTCCTGAGTAAAATGTTTTTCCCTTTTTGCTCTTTCTGTCTGTCCAATTATAACCTCTCTCTTATATCATCATACAATATTACTTGGAAGTCAAAACTTGCTTGCAGTTCTGCGCATTGGTTAGAACTACTTGGATTGAAAAGAAGCTAGTTCTTGGGAATTTCAAGAATATGGGCATCTTTGCCCACCTTGTGCCCTGCCAGCAAGATCCAGGCAGGATGGGAGGAAGATGGGGATGCATTCACCTTCCATTCTTTTCCTTCCAAAAACTGTCAGCTAAGAAAAGTCTGAATCTAGCTGGCTCATTTACTGATGGTGGGTGAGAACAGGCAACAGAAAGGCCACTGGACCCAGGACATTTCCCCAACCGTCAATTGGACCTCCTTTTGACCTTTGTGTGGTCATCTGAGGATGCTGTTGTGAGCTTGGAAAGCAGCCAGTGCAGTCCTCTCTGCAATGGTGGGGAAGGGGAAAGAATCCAACATCAGATTTCCCCTCCTAGGGGTGACTGCCTCAGAGATGCAGAACAGTTTAAGGCTTGACAGAACTGAATTGCTCCTCAGCAGGGGTGGGAGGGAGTGGAAGGGTGTTAGAGAGTGTGTTGCCACTCCTGATACCACCCCCTATTTTTTCTTCATGCTAGAGGGAGATATGGGACTGCTCCTACTGCCAGAATGGAGAGAGAGAGACAGGCTACATGCCATCTCTGCTGTTCTCCCAGATCAGAGATAGCAGCAGGGTGATGCCCTTCAGGATGATTCCTCTGGGATGGAGTAGCTTTGGGCTCAAGCCCCACATCCTGGAGGCTGCATGGGTTGGATTGGGGTGCCTTCCATCTTGAAGCACCCAGCATTCTGTTTTGTTGTTTATGTTAAATTTTAAGGACATGAAATTTCAGTTATTGTTAGGAGTAAACTTTATTGCTATGGCTTTAAAATGCAAGCAAACCAAAATATGTTTTCTATGATTGAGACTCAAACAAAATAATCCCATTAGTAGTTAAAAGCTTTAATAAAAGGTTATAGATCTTTGACAAGTACAGTTGGTAGCACATCTCACTTGTAGGTGGACATAGAGAGAGTGAATCCTTCACAATTGTTGTAAAACCCATAACCCAGCGAGACTACTTCTCTGGACCACTGGTTGAGAACCACAGGTATAAGGTACTACATGGGGACATGGAGTATTTCTCTGAGCACAGCAATGCATTTCCCAGCGTTCTTTATAATATATAAACTCTCTGCTCAACCCAGCTCACTGATGGAGTCTTTGGTAGTTATTTTAAAAAAGGAGCTCAAAGTCCATTTTGTTTGTAGGTTTCCTCTCACAAGACCCGATCTCTGCAGGAAATGGGAAGCTGCTGTTAGAAGAAAAAATTTCAAACCAACAAAATACAGCAGCATTTGTTCGGAACACTTCACTCCAGATTGCTTTAAAAGAGAATGCAACAACAAGCTACTAAAAGACAATGCTGTACCAACAATATTTTGCCACACAGAACCAAGTGTTAAGGTAAGTGAGGTCTGGATTATTCATAAAAGCAGAGCAGTTATTTCAAAGTGACAGAGATATTGTGAGAAGAGCAGTGCACAGTATGTAGTAGGAGGATGTTGAATTATTCCTGCTCCTTGATGCTCTAACTGGAATTGCCTTCCACTTTCTTTCATTGATTGAACACACTTCATTAGTTGTTGTGGCCTTCAAGTGTAAACAAATGAAAGCAGCTCTTTCCTTAAATTGTTACTCTGTCGGCTTGATTATCGTGCCCACACTCCTCCTTCCTGCAAGGGTTACATTCAGATATGATAAATTGAGCATGCAGACTTCCAGAAGAGCTCGAGGAGAGTGACTGAGTTGTGATCACCTCATTTCAGCCTGGTATCCTGTTGCCTTTCTTTACCACTGCAAGAGTGCTAAATGTTGGCAGTCTGCGGCATTGACAGTCTAATTGCCTAATTGACAGCTTCCATACAGCCTAATCTTGGAAGCTAAGCAGGGTCAGGCCTGGTTACACTTTGAATGGGGGAGGAGCCCTGCATTGAGCAGGGGGTACCCAATAGCCTTTCCGACTGCATGATTTTGTGATTCTTGTGAACCATCCAGAGAGCTTTGACTACAGGCAGTATAGAAATATAATTAAATAATGATTCTGACATATCTGCGAAGAGGGTTGCTGCAGCCAGCCTCGAGCCCCTCTTTCTCCACTTCTTCCAATCAGTGGAAATGGGATGTCCTACTGAATTGAGGAGAGCAGGGTATTTATCCTATCTCAAACTCCTAATTCATCTTGCAGAGTAACTGAAAGGCTGACCAGGGATTCTTGTGCTCTTCTGTCACAGAAGAGTTTCATATATATTGGCATAATTCAGAGATCCCTTTTAGAACAGCACTCCCACTGCCACCATTACTGGGTGCCAGGTGATTTTCTAATAACAAGATTCATTCCTTCTTTCCTGTGTACTAAGAAATTCCTGGCATGAAATAAGTTAGATGTGCTGCATGAGTGCAGCAGGCCAGGAGAACTGGAGTGTTCTAGCCATGTTAAGCTCTTTTTGGTGATTACATATCAGATGTGACTTGTGGTGAGAGGAAATTGTTTCTTACAGGAATTACTCCAAAGTGACATCTGAACGTCTTGAGTTTTGCAAATATGAGCCATAAGTTTTTGAAGACCACCTAGAGAAAGTATTGTTAGTGAGTGCTATAAAAATGCAATAAATTAATTAATTTAAAAAATGCACTCCCCAGTGTGGATGGCTGGAGGGGATCAGGATGGTGTTTTGGTGTCCTCAGCTGGTGGGGAAGAGCACTGCCAGTGTGGCTGTGTCATGGTGGAGGCCTCTACTGGACCCAGATGGGTGGGCTGCTGTACTGTCCACCAGCAGCAGCAGGAGGAAGAAAGTCCTGAGTCAGGGTACTGTATGAGGCAGTGGGAAGCCTGCTTTGGATCCACTGGATTCAAAACTTGCTCCATTACCCAGAGGAAATCTGGCTCTATTAGCTATGCTAGCTGTGGAAGGGAAGGAATTTTATCTGTTGAGCCAAGATACACAAGCTGGCAGGGCTGGGATGAGGCAGTAGGATTACCTCATAATTCCCCACCAGCCCAACTCAAGATTGGTAAGACAGATAGTAAATTAAATATTGCTCAAAGATCTTAGAAGAAAACTTCTAAAGTCTGGTTTTAAATGGTCTCAAAATTGTTAATGCCAGGCTATTGTTGTCCATTTGCCATTAAGATGTCATTCTTGAATTTAATGTTACAAGTCCTTCCAAGTGCTTTTGCTGTACATCTGAAATCCTGCTCAATGGATCCTTGGCAGTAAGGAAACTGATACCTTAAGCACTTTCCAGGTAGATTGTTCTAGGATTACAGGCCAGGTGGAAAAGGGGTGATATAGTGTTGTATCCAGTGATGGCTTTGTGTGAACAAAAGGGACTTCTGATAATGCAAACACATACTTTTCACCAGTTTTCTTTTCCTATTACAGCCCTATAGACTCCCCACAAGCTGCTTTGAGGCTTCTCCAGAACAATGAGTTATGGCACGGAGGGCTGGAGAAAATATACACGCACACATTTTTCTATACAGTCCCATCACAGACGTCTCAGGAGAGTTTACAACAGATTAATAGAATAAAAATAGAAATAAGCATGGAAATAGAATAGAATATGTAACAGTGTGAGAGGGATTAGCAAAAATTAAATGTCCTGCCTTATAAAAGTGTAACCACTTTCCACTAATAGAAAGTCACCATTGGATACAACACATGATTTGCAAAAACCACAAGAGATCCAGTCATCTCTTACCACAAATATATGACTGAAATCTGGCATCATTCGCAGTCTAACTCTGACCCATTTGACAAATAATATTGAAAATTTGATTTACTGTTTGTTTTGCTGCAGATTTTATGCCATTTTAAAGAATAAATTAACCTTTCCAATTAAAGAGATTTTAAAAAGTAAGTTTAGGTTAGTGAAATACAGTATGAAAAAAGTTTTCATATTTTTTATTTCACCTATTTATTAGAATTCTATCCCACCTTTTTTCTTTTAAAGAACTTAAAGCAGTTTACACCTTCTGTTCTCAATCTTATCCCCACAACAACAATGCTGTGAGGTAGGTTAGATTGAGAGTCTGTGACTGGCCCAAATTCACCCAGTCGACTGCATGACTGAGTGGGAACTAGAACCCTGATTGCCTGAGTTCCAGTCCTGCACTCTTAACCACCACACTACACTGGCTCTCAATCTAAATACTTTAGATTTCTTCTTGATAAAAGTGACATTCATTGTAATTTGGCAAAAACATCCTCTGTATGAGGCCTGTTTCCTGTTTCCCAGTGGTTTACCTTCTCTGAGGTGGCAAGTAACTTCCTTTCTCAAGTGTTAGAGCCAAGTGTTGCAAAGAGAGAAAATGTTGGAAAGTGGTGATTAAATAGATGTTTTTAACTGGAAAAGGATGACACTCAAACATGCTATGTTGAACTTGCAAATAGCTGACTATGCCTTTAATTATATGCCTTCAACTAAGCAAATTTAAAGTGTATATTCTTGCCTTATTGTTTTAGTCTGAAGGCACTCAGGCACCACCTGAAATTCCAACTCCCCCTTCTCCTTCGCCGCCGCCACCACCGCAAACTGATCCAAGACTAGTAGACCCAAGCATTGGATTATTGATGCCACCCCTTCATACTCCCAATAATATTGCTGTGTTTTGTGATCACAACTATACTGTAGAGGATACAGTGCACCAGAGAAAAAGAATTCAGCAGCTGGAAGAGCAAGTGGATAAACTGAGGAAGAAGCTTAAGACTGCTCAACAACGATGTCGGCGTCAGGAGAAACAGATTGAAAAACTGCGAGAGCTTGTTCAGTTTCAGAAGGAAAAAGACGTCTTGTCGGGTAAAGGTGGCTATGTGATTCTGCCTAATGACTATTTTGAAATTGTAGAAGTACCTGCCTAGGAGGCTATCATTTATATTTATGGGGCACTGCCAGATTTAGCCTCATCAGACTAACTCAGAAGATCAGTTTAAAATGCAATGCTTTCTAATTCTGTGAACAAGATACTTCAGCCCTTCAAAACAATAATAAAATTGCTATATAATATATGTTTGTTGTGATGACTTGTTAGCATTTTTATCGATCACTTCCCTAGTAGTACCATTATCAATATTTACACTGAGAACTGCAGCAGTATCATAATCCAGTTCCAACACATTTCCATCTGTGTTTACTCAGAAATAAATCTCTCTGTGTTCAGTGGGGACTATTCTCAGGTATTGGGAAATAGCACTGCAACCTTAGGGCAGCGCTCCTGTACCCACTTGCCTAGGAATTAGCCCCACTATCTGAATGGAGTTTATTTCTGAGCAGGGTTGCATTGTTAGATGATTATACAAAGCAGAACCATAGTGCTGCTCAAAAATTATTGCTAAGCAGTTGTAATGGTATTTTAGCATGTAGTTGGCCCTTTGAAAAGTCTCCTGCTGGACAACGTTGTTTCAGAGAATTATAGTAGAAATGGAATGCAAAACTTTAATTCTATGTATACAGGAGGGGGTGTGATGAAGATGGGAAGCCATCATCCGTAAGCCAGCAAGTCTTTAGTTCAAATTCCACCTCTGCTGTGAACCTTTTTGGGTAGCTTTACACGAACCACTACCCCTCAGCTGGTAAGAGTGCCTCTTTATATATGGCCTTGGCTGTTGAGTTTTGGTGCACAGGTAGCACTCTCAAGACACCATTGATTGGTCATTAGAGGTATGAGGGAACAAAGGAGAAAAGGCAGTGTCAGAGATAATGTAGGGCTCAAGTCAGTAAGGTCAAAATCAGCTCCATGAATGTGATGCTCAGAAAAGGAGACTTCACTACAGGTTCTGGAGCCTTGCACAGCTCGGCCATGGCAAGACATGGGCTGCAGTGGCTGCAAAGTCTGGCTTCCAGATAGTTGTTAAGGGCAGTCCCATGTAAAATACCTGATAATCTAGCCTTGAGGCGTATGAATGACATTTCACTGCTCTGGATCAGTTATGAAGATTCACAGTCCTCTAGCAGGGACTTGTGAAATACGTAGGCAGCTAGCTCTTGCTCCAGTCTTGGATTTCAGGCACAGCTGCAGATTCTGAAGAACCAAATGGATGCTTGTTTTGAAAGACTGAATTCTATACAGAGTGAAGTATCAAGTCACAAGACCTAGAAATCCAGACTCTCCCAAGCTTATGTGAGCTCAATTTTAGCAGGCTAATGCTTAACTCGGTGCTCAAAATAGGGTTTTTCGTTAGGTAAGCAGCAGTGCTGCAGGATCTTGTTGAGTTGAAGAAGAGATAGGGAATGTTTTCCCAGCATGCAGACTTTTGCCTGAGCTTACCAGTCAGACGTTTGCATGGCTCCCTGGGCAATGCAGTTTCCACACTTCCTGCTCTTTCCTCCCACTTTGGCCATGCAAGCAAAATCAGGTTGTTTACTCTTTTGCTGTCTATGGACCCCACTAGCCTCAATCTGACTGGTCCACTGCATGTTTAAGGCAAGGTCTCCTTTTTCTCCATCTGGAGTATACCTGCATCTTTGCAACACTTCCTAGCCACTCCTGCCCCCAAATATGTTTTTAATTAAATCATAATAAACACTTGCTGCAATTCCATCTCTGTACATTTACCTGTTTTCTCTGTTTCTGAAAGTAAACAAGATGGGTCTCCTTGTTGCTCAGCCAATAGGAATAAAGCATGTGACGCTGTGTGCATTGCTAGGGAGCTGAGGACAGGTGGCCGAGTGGCTCATTCTATATAGTGTTTCCATACCAATAATGGTAAAATAGCGATTGCAGGTCTGGATGACCAGAGACATTGCTGTGAAGTGTGGAAACTGTAGCACAGACAATTGATTCTTTCCATGGTTTCAGGAAATTATAGGCAGCATGTAGAAACATCATGGCTGGGTCTAAATGACATGACAGACCAAGAAGGGTAAGAAATTACTGTTGCTTCTTGTAACATGCAGACCTGGACTTAGAGTTGACTGACATCATACTGATGACAGCAAACTGGTGTACAAGCTTACTTAGCAGGCTAATATATATGTTGATAAGGGAATTAGATGGCACCTTCTGCCATGTAGCCCCTTAGATATGATTGCACATCACCAACCACTGACACTACTAGTGTACCGTTTGCAAGCAGCTGGTACAGCACACATCCCTGAAAGCCAGGGGTCTCAAACTCAACTTACCTGGGGGCCACTGGAAGTAGAGTCTGGGTGAGGCTGGGCCGCATCAAGTATTCCACCACTGCGGTGGGGGTGGGCTGCTCATCTGGATGCTGGCCTGGGCACCACCGGCGCTTTGAAGGCTGCAGGGCCTCTCCCCCGTGCCCCGCCCCTCCCAGCAATTGGCCCGCGGGCCGCTAGTTTGAGGCCCCTGCTGAAAGCAATAGTAAGCTAATGCTTTGGATGAAATGCTGTCCCTGATCAGTGTTTTAACGTCAGTGGTGAGAGATTTTTGCCCTGGGTAAGTCTGAAAAAATTACAGTTTTTCTGAAGTGTCCATCCAAGAGCTAACATTACTAGAAAGGACTATAATGAAGAAATTCTGGTAATTAAAAGTGCTAAACCAATATGATATCCTGAGATATCTAAATTAGTCAGTGATGATGTCACAATTATCCTCCACTCCCACCCCCAGTTTGCATTAAAATTAATGTCAGGCTGCATGAGTAAGCTCTTCATAGGACATCTAGATTAAGGTAATCTACATTTTTTTTAATGTTTACATAAAATACAGAATAAACTCAGTGGTTACAAATGACCATCCATTACAAGTAGGAGGTAGAGGAAATATTAGTATAAATGTTAAGCCAATTTGAATTAAACCCACAAACAGTCCAAATGGTATGATGGCTATTCTCAAGGCTACTTCATACATTGCTTATCAAAGTGTTGGCACAATCCTGTCTTTGTCTTGAGCATGGCAGTGTGGGTACAGAAGTGCTTACTTGTAGGTTGTGGTTTTTCTGACAAACTATTGCCAGATTTGATAATATATTGTTTGATCCGGCTATCATGGAGGGAGGAATAGGAGACTGTCTCATCCCCAGTGTGTCTGCCCCATGTCTAATGTCACATACAAATGTGATACACATATACGGAGACTAAAATTATGTGGCTGATCGCCAGATTTTTCTGTGGAATTATCCATGAGATGAATACATGTAGCATTCTATATAACAAGAAAATAGTCAAGCATTATGCCCTGTCTTAGATGTTGGAGATGGAACAGTTGTGTCTGGTTAGGTTAGAGCAGCTGTTCTCTTGCTCTACTCCTTGAATTGGACCAGATCAGGGAAAAAAGTATTGATCAATCTGGTCTGTTATATACTTATTTTTCTAAATATTCTTTGATCATTGTAATAGTGGGTATATGCAGAAGTTGATCTTTACTCATCCCTGTGGAATAACTTTTTTAAAAACCTCCTTAAAACCATGTTAATTGGAAAAAATACATCTTTGTAAACTAACTATAAATACACACTTTCACCAGTTGTATTTTTAATACATTATGCATTTTGATATTATGTAAGGAAGTGAAAGCAAGCATCAGCCACTGATGTTGCACACATGTCCATACTGTGATGCTAAGTAAATAACATACTGTTATGAGGTCCTGGTGCATGGTGAAAACTAGATAATTGCCACCAGGTGCATAAAAGTCAGTATTCACAGATGAAGACACATGTATCCTTTGTACGTAGAGTAGTGTGGTCAAAAGGTAAGTACAATCAAGGAAAGCATATTCAGAGCAGAGAACTTCATTAGATCTGGGGACCATTGACGGAATTCATCCCAGGGGAACATGAATTTGCACTGAAACACGGTGTATTTTCTCCACTGGTGCTTTTAAGGCACCACCGCTGCACTCCTTTATCAGTGACTTGTGGGGTGGGGGGGGGGTGGCAGAGAAAGGCCATGAGCATGTCCTGTGGACCACACATCCCCCACCCCTGCTCTAGAGCATGATTCCCTTTAAGTCTTGGCAAAAGCAAACTGCATGGCACCATTTATTTTGCGCATGGCATCACCAAGGCACCACGATGTAGAACAGTTTTAAAATTGCATTTGTTGCATTTAGCAAGGCAAAGGATGAGCATAGAAAATGAATGTAGCTGCATTGCTTGTGGGGTGTGTGAAATGGGCTACCCATCCAAAGCATAAGGGAAGGTGCAAGAGTGATGGCGAATCTGTTTGTCTTCATAAAATGCATGCTGCAAACTGAGGCTGGGAGGAAATTGAGCTCACCCAATGAGCCCTTCTTCTGACCTCCCTTCAGATATTGCATATATTGTCTTGCTTCCATCCAAAAGATGGCCCATTTCTTACTTCATTTCTCTTTCCCTCTAGCAGCTCATTCTGCATTCCAAATGTGGTGCCGTAATGTTAAAGAGTTGTTTATGAGGCAAATGCATTTACATGCATGAAACCTGCATTGGTCTGTGGAGATGCTCTTTTCATGCTTAAGTCAAGCTGCCCCTTTCATACAGCCAGAAGATAGTAGCACCATGAAAAGGGAGCCATCTGAAGGCAGGAACTAGAATCTGAACCCTAAAGGATGCTGCAATTCTTTTCAAAGAGCTGGCTCTAGTAGGAATGAGGTGGATGGAAGACTTGTGGTGCATTTTTGGCCCCGGTTAAGGCAGCCGAATGTCCTAGCCAGCACTTATATTTAAGCAAAACACGTTTTGAGACTTGTTACTTTTCTGGCAGTGATTGCAGAGAGTCTGTGTAGAAAGCCAAGCAATAGCAAGACTTTAGCTATTGCTAAAGCAGCTGTAACTGTTCTCTTGCTTTAATTTTGTAAACTGTCATGAGTTTCTTGGAATAAATGTTGTTGTTGTTAGTCGTGAAGTCGTGTCCGACCCCATGGACAACATTCCTCCAGGCCTTCTTGTCCTCCACCTTACCCTGAGTCCACTTAAGCTCACACTGACTGCTTCAGTGATTCCATCTAGCCACCTCATTCTCTGCTGTCCCCTTCTTCTTTTGCCATCTATTGTTCCCAGCATTAGGCTCTTCTTCAGGGATTCCTTCCTTCTCATTAGGTGGTCAAAGTGTTTGAGTTT